GAGGCAGATCTCGGCACCAGTGCCATCCATGGAGCGTTATGTGCCACGCTCTTGGCTCCGCCAGGTACTCAGAGGGTGAACGTGGATATGGGCACACTCCCTGCCCTCACTGGGCTGTTCATGTGCTGTGTGACATTGGCACTGGGGCAGACACTTCTACCAGTGTGACATGTGCTGTCACTGGGGAAATGCATGGTGCTTTGGAAGCTCAAAAAAGAGGGAACCTCAAACCTTGTGCAAGGAAGGAGGTCAAGGAGGGCTTCCTGGAAGAAATGGTACCCTAAACCGACTCTTTGTTTTATGTTTATTTTAACTAGAACCGTGATGTTTAGAAAAGCCCCAAACCTTTGTACTTTACAGAGATGGCCACGTCTTTTACAGAAGAGGCTCCCCAGTCCCGAAACAACACATTCCTTTTTCTTTAGGTTGGCAACGTGATCCTTTCTGTCCTCATCTAGCAGAACAGGAAGTTGAGCTCTTAGGAGTCTCCATGTATAAGAAGGGATTCAGCCTTGTAATGAAGAAAGTCGAGTAGTCGGGTGAAACATGCCGGAATCCGCCTGCGCGGCGGCGGTGCACGCGGGGAGAGCGAGCTCCGAATCCTCCCAGAACCTCCGGACCGATCAGAACCCTGACACCCGGAGCCCGCACTCCGGTTCTCTGAGACCGTTTATCTAACAGCAGACGAGCCATTGTTTTCCGTTAGGGAGGCTGTCTAAACATCTTTTTGTTTTGCTTAGAGTTGTTACCCAGCAAAAATATTTCCTAAATACCCCTGATTGACCTGTTAAATTAGAAATAGATTAGGTCCCAATTACTTCCCAAGTATTTGCTTAATTAACCTTTAATAATCACATCATTATTCAGTTTTCTGAGATAATTAGGGAGAAAAGCTGTTTGGAAACTAAATTGCCTTGCAAATGTTAATTTTCAGATTTCTAAGTCTGGAAAATTTTCATTAAATTAAAATTGTAAAATGTGTAATGCGACGTCCAAAATGAGATTCACAGTTATCCCAAAGTTTGAAAAATACGAGTTGTGGCTAATTAACAGATTGATTTTTGTGTATGGCTTCTGTGAATTCTCAATAATTCATCGGCCCACTGTGTATGTCAAGTTTATATCAAAAAGTCTAAAATGCTTTCTATAAAATAGGGGGACTGAATCATCGATTTCTGGCTTGTGACTAAACCATAATTGTAGTCAAAGCCACCCCAATAAACCGCTAGTAGATGGAGGCCCAGATTAAAGTTGCAGATTCTGACACAGCACAGGAGACAGGGAATATCTGAGGTACACCCTTGCATTGAGTCTTTGTTCCGATGTTACCGACATCGCAGACCTTCCCTTGAATCCCCTGCTTTGTTCGGTAGGGCACATCAAGGTATTTTTAGGCGTCTTATTTGTCATCCTCCCAACAAGGTTTCAACAAATGCCTTAGTCCACACCTAGATGGTTAATCACCATACACTGATGCTGTCTAAACTATTTATCTAGGAAGAGATACTAGGCCTTGGGTGAAATTTCACTTTTTTCATCTAAGTAAAGTTAGAACAGGAGACCCATGTTGAAGGAATAGTGCACAAAGAAACTTTAGAGAAAAGAAAACAGAGCGGCCATTGTATGTCAGTATGGAGAGCAGGCCAGAAATAACGAGGCCAAATATTCACGTAAAATTTATTCTAAGTATGTTTTGATATAAAAATTAAGTGAAGATTAAAGCCTACGACTATAAAATTCGGTAGGACTCATCCCCTGTAGTAAGTAGGATTGTTTTTCTCCACTCGAGAGGCAGTGTTGTTCAGTGTTTAATTGCTGGCAGTAATTAGATTCTGCAGCGATGGCCTGGCTGAATCCTGGTGTCCACGGCTAGAAGAAAACCGGCCCCGACCACAGGATCCCAGGTAGAGAATGCTTCCTGGGGGCAGCAGCTTTCAACTGGGACTTGCCCGAGTCTTAAGAACATGGTTTCCTTTGGCAAAGCCATTATTTTTACGTTTGCACGTTAACATTCCACTACGTAAAAATGGTTTTCTCCCATTCTCTCCAAAGCCACCTGTTCTGGGGAGCTGTCTCTGATTAAGCCTAATTAAGAAGGATGTGTGCGCCTCAAGGACGAAGCCTGCATGATATTAATTTTGCTTGTTACATGTTGCGTGGTTCATCGGATAGTGGTAGTCCAACAATCGCTGAACAGTTCAGTTCCACAATTTATTCATTCAATAAATAGTATTGAGGACCTGTTTGTACCAGCCGTTGTGCCAGATGCTGGTATAACAAGTTTTTGGTTCATTCACGTAATATTTATAAAGCACTCACTGTGTCTCAGGTCCTGCCCTGTGTAAGGGAACGCAGTGATGAGCCAGAGAGACAAATTCCTCAGTCTGGGGGGAAGAGAAATGAATACAACAACCAAGCTGTGTGAAGACGGCAATGGTGAGGAAAGATAAGGAGTGGGTTAAGGTAAGAGCATCTGAGCTGAATAAATTGTGCATGGGGGCTGGGGGGTGGGCACAGTGGGCTGTGATGGAGAATTAGAGAACCCCTGGTCCCTGCTGAGGCTGAAGATAGATAGGAATTGACCATGCCTGCAGTGGGAAATGACCACCAATTTGCAATCTAGTCACTAGGGCCATGAAGATAGGAAGGAGACAAGACCAAGAAAACCAGCTTAGATTTTGTTACATTAGTCTGAGAAGGAATCATTGGTGGCCTGGGGTAAAGCGGAGGGGATTAAGAGACTTGAACAGAGAGAAAGATTCAGAAGACAGAAACTGCAGGGGTGTGTGGGAGAGGGGGATGTGAGTGACTCGGGTTTCAGCTTGGGCAGCTGAATGAAGACGGTGTCATTCACTGAGAGGAGGACAAGGAGATGGAGCAGATGGGAGGCCATGTCAGTGGACAAGATGAATTTAAAGCACCTATGGGACATCAGGGTAGAATTAGCAGTGAACTGTTGAACTGCTGGTCATTTGGGCCTGGAAAACGAGCCGAGTGGTGGGGCTGGAGCAGTCAGTCATCTCCATCGATCATATTTGCCTGAATTTCAGTTGCCTTGAATTTATAAAGTGAGCCTCCATTTTTCCAAATAACCTCCCACTATAGAACTTTATGACAAACTTGAATTTATGAACTTTTAGAAATAAAGGTCAAATAATGAGAGCTCTACTTGTACTATTATTGTATTAAGTCTGGTATACTTGCATAGTTTACATATTGAATACAATTTTTAAAATCATTCTGTTAAAACTCTTAGTGTCTTTGTCATCCCTAGCATTATATTTTGAGTCTTACACAATTTCCCAGAACATAGCATCTTCACTTTCTCCTGTGTTTTGGTTTATATTATGCTGTTCCTGGAAATTTTATTCTAAGACATGAGTATCTAATCATACCACACTATTCATCCTATAACCAACTTCATGTACCATATTGCTTTTGTAGTGACTTTTAAAGGTTTGTTTGCAAGGACATTCAACACTTGCAAATGTGGAGGTATTTCCCTAAAAGTAATTCCCAGATCCAGGTTAAAATTGTTTCCTTTCTCCCCAGTTCTGTCTGGTAGCTTCTTATTGAATGTGATTGTTTCATGTTAGTGGACTCATAAATTCCCCCAGAAAACATTTTTCTCTTCAAAATAATTCAGAGTATCCAATGATTTGAAGGACATTTTAAGCTTCAAAACAAAGTGAGGGGCAGGTGTTTAGCCTAGTGGTTAAGACATTCCCTGCCCAACATTGGAGTACTTGGGTTCAATTTCTGGCACTGGCTTCAGACTCCCTGCTGATGCAGACCCTGTAAGGCAGTAGTGATGGCTTCAGTAATTGGGCTTCTCCCACCCAAATGGAAGACCTGGATTGAGTTCCTGGCTCCCAGCTTTGGCCAGACCCCAGCCTGCCTGTTATAGGCAGTGGGGAGTAGGCCAGTATGTGGGAGCTCTGTCTCTCACCTATCCAACTCTTTGGTCTCTAATAAATAAATAATATAAAAATATATGACTTTTCTGAAAGATTACTGGGAAGAGAGGGCTCTGTCTTATATTTGGGTATATATACTTATGCCAAGAGAACACTTAAAATTGTCTCAGGAGAGTTTAGGATGGCAGACAAGGACCAAAGACTACAATGGTACTAGGACTAAGACTATTACCTAATCAAAGGAACACTAATATAACGTTGCAAAACAACACATGGACGTATAAAGCAAAAACCGGGGGTATGTAGTAGCATAGAAGCCAAGGAGAGAAGGTGTTTCAGGAATGCAGGAATGGCCAATAGAGTCTTATACTTCTGAAATGTCAAGTTCAGTAAGATCTGAAAACCATCCATTGTACTTACTGATAAGGGGGGTGGTCAAGGGCAACCTAACCAAGTGCAGTCATGGCAGAAAATGAGGCTGCCTACTTGGTGGTGCATAGTTACTGAGGATGTACAACTTCTTAAGTTTACCTGTCATAGGAAGAAAAAGTTGGTAAATCTACAAATGCTGATGTCAGAGAAGCCGATGAAGAGGGATATGGAAGATTCAAGAAAGAAAAGGGATAACTGGCAACTTCAGAAACATTCAGATCGGCCCATAGTTGGGGATTTCTAGGAGTGAGTGAAGTAAAAAGACAAGGATTGAGGAACTCAAGGGTGCTGAAAAGTGAATTATTGTGCTAACAAATCATGTGCTCTAGCTCCAGGGGTGGGGAGCCTTCTGTCTGCCAAGGGTCTTTTGGATATTTGTAACAACAATCACAGGCCATACAAAATTATCAACTTAAAAATGAACCTGCTGGAGATATATTGAATTTCAAGTGCAGAAGGGGCCAGCAGTGTGGCGCAGCAGGTTAAAGCCCCGCCTGAAGCACCAGCATCCCATTCGGGTGGCGGTTCAAGTCCCGGCTGCTCCTCTTCCAGTCCAGCTCTCTGCTATGGCCTGGGAAATCAGTGGAAGATGGCCCAAGTCCTTGGGCCCCTGCACCCACATGGGAGACCTGGAAGAAGTTCCTGGCTCCTGGCTTCAGATTGGCACAGCTCTGGCCGTTGCGGCCATCTGGGGAGTGGACCAGTAGAAGGAAGACCTCTCTCTCTATCTCTCTACCTCTCTCTCTGTAACTCTGTCTTTCAAATAAATAAAATAAATCTTTAGGGGGCCGGCGTCATGGTGCACTAGGTTAATCCTCCACCTGCAGCACCAGCACCCCATATGGCCACTGGGTTCTAGTCCCGGTTGCTCCTCTTCCAGTCCAGCTCTCTGCTGTGGCCCGGGAAGGCAGTGGAGGATGGCCCAAGTGCTTGGGCCCTGCACCCGCATGGGAGACCTGGAGGAGGCACCTGGCTCCTGGCTTCGGATCAGCGTAGCTCCAGCCATTGTGGCTATTTGGGGAGTGAACCAACGGAAGGAAGACTTTTCTCTCTGTCTCTCTCTCTCACTGTCTAACTCTGTCAAATAAAAAAATAAAAAAAATTTTTTTAAAAAGATTAAAAAAAAGAAATCTTCAGCTGAATTGGAGCATATTTTGTTCTTGTAGTACCTTAATGAAGACTGAAAATGAGAGACAATATCCTGACTTTGGCTATCTGATCCGCTCAGATTCTGTCCTCAAAGGACACATGTTGGGACCCAGAAGACAACATTCACAGCACAAAGCAGTCCAATCTTCCAGTGAGAATGATAGAATTTTGAGTTTTGGATCTAAATAACAGAAACGTGACATAACATCCTACCTTAAGCACAAAGAAATTCTATTGAAAGGAACCTGGTATCTTAGGATAAGGATGCAGATGGACCTCAGGAATGGAGCCAGATCCTAGCGCACCTTAGAGAATGCCTGAAGTCTTGTGGAGAGTCTCTTGTCTTCACTGCTCTCAGGGGACCTCAGCTTCAGTTGCTGTGCAGTGGCTCACTCTGTGTTCAAGTCCACAGAGTAAATGACTGCCGTCACCTGCCAAATTGTCCTGTTACAGTCTGATTCTGTCAGTTCCAATTACAAATTTCCCAGTGGACAGGTTGATGGCTAATCTCGGTTCTGATATCCAACTCACACCACTCAGGGAGGGCACTACGTGGAGAGTTATAATGTGGCAGCTGCCCCTGCAAGGAACCAGTAAACAAAGGAGGAGTGTGCTGTTCATGGAAAACGGGTACCAATGAATTCAACAGGCATCTATTGTAACTGGGTTCCAAACTGTATCCTAATCACCCAGCTTGGTACCTGGTACTTAACAAATATTTGTATGAAGAATAAATATTTACTGTAGATATGTAGAAGGGAATTGAGATACCAGGACAAGGAATTTGCTTGAATGGAAGGAGCTAGAAAGAAAGGAAGCAAATATGGGTATGTATACCCAGGATTGTGAGAGGATGCCATATTCATCCTTGAGGATCTTGGCATCTTTCATGAAGTAGGCAGCAAGGTCATCTGCTGTGAGAAGATAAGGGAGTGGCAGAGTGTGTAAGAATGGCAAGAACCAGCACTGTGGCACAGCAGGTTAAAGCCTCACCCTGTAGTACCGGTATCCCATATAGGTGCCAGTTCAAGTCCCAGCTGCTCCTCTTCTGATCCATCTCTCTGCTATGGCCTGGGAAAGCAGTAGAAGATGACCCAGATGATGCTTGGGTGCCTGCACCTGCGTGGGAGACCCGGAAGAAGCTCCTGGCTCCTGGCTTTGGATCAGCACAGCTCTTGCCATTGCAGTCATTTGGGGAGTGAAAGAGCAGAATGGAAGACACCCCCCCCTCTGGCTTTACCTATCTCTGTAACTCTGTCTTTCAAATAAATAAAATAATTCTTTAAAACAAATAAACAAAAAAGAATGACAATGTCTAGAAGAGTCGCAGAGGAGATCAAGAGTAGAAACTGCATGTTTCAGGGCCCAGCTACAGTTGATACTGGTACATTTGTGATTTTGTTGCCATCTGTTATTCATAAGGCAATCTACAGTAAGAGGAAGAAGGGTGGGTAGTTGGATCAGCCCATAGTTGGGGATTTCTAGGAGTGAGTGAAGTAAAAAGACAAGGATTGAGGAACTCAAGGGTGCTGAAAAGTGAATTATTGTGCTAACAAATCATGTGCTTTAGCTCCAGGGGTGGGGAGCCTTCTGTCTGCCAAGGGCCTTTTGGATATTTGTAACAACAATCACAGGCCATACAAAATTATCAACTTAAAAATGAACCTGCTGGAGATATATTGAATTTCAAGTCCTGCCTGTGGTTGCCTTGGCAGGGCCAGACCACATGATATTACATGTCTTAGATTGCCGGCAGGCCGGATGTTCCCCACCCCAGGAGACACTGAAGGAAATGAATCCAGAATGGGCCTAGGAGAAAATGGGGGTGTCTAGGAATTGGAGCCCTCAAAGATTAAAGTATAAATGAAAAGTAGGAACGCAAAGATAGAAGTTGTGTGTTTGAGACTCAAACAGTGACGTTCAGTCTTTCAGAAGAGTCAGGAGAGCCGAGAAACTCTTAGGTCA